ACCATTGGGGATCAAGCCTGCAACCGGGGCATGTGCCCTGACCGGGAATTGAACTTTAACCTCCTGGTTCCTAGGTCAGTGTTCAACCACTGAGCCACACCAGCCAGGCAAGATGATGCTTTTCATGGAGGCATCACTTAATTCTTTATAAGGTACTTCCAGATGTACTATTCCATTTCCTTAATCCTCACAATTTTATTTACTTAATCCTCACAATTGCACTGTGATGCGAACTAGGCCCTTTATAGGGGAAAGCTCAGAGGTGAAATGTTTTGCCCGGCGTCTCAGGCCTTCTGGGCCTCATCGCTCTCTCAAGTTGCTGACGTGGGAAAAAATAGCAACAACAAAACTGTATTTGCGCTGCACTGCGGCCATGTCGTCCCACGGCACCGACTGAGACCAGTGCACGATTCCTTTTCCGAGCGATGAAAATACTAGAGGTCTGGTGCACAAAATTCATGCAAGGGGCTCGTCCCCCTCTGCCATCTGGAACAGTGGTTCTCAACCTTCTGGCCCTTTAAATACAGGTCCTCATGTTGTGACCCAACCATAAAATTATTTTCATGGCTACTTCATAACTGTCATGTTGCTACTGTGATGAATCGTCATGTAAATATCTGATATGCAGGATGGTCTTAGGCGACCCCTGTGAAAGGGTCGCTCGACCGCCAAAGGGGTCTCGACCCACAGCTTGAGAACCACTGGTCTGGAAGAACATCCAGTGTAATTAGCATATTATGCTTTTATCATTATAGATCGGCTTTACGGAGATGGTTATGCAAGTCACGGGATGGGAATATAATGACGCTCTTTTTTTTTTTTTTCCGTTTAGGGAAAACCCAGAAAGAACCTTTGACCTGGTATTGAACGTGAAATGTCACTCCTCTGAAGGCGAAGGTACGTGCATTCTGTCCATTCCTCAGATGGCCGAGTCCGTCCCAGCGCGTGTCCGCGTGGGGGACGCGTGAGGGTTCTCGCTGCGTGACTCTCTGCACCTCCTGTCGCCTCACGTTCGTTGCTGGGAATGAAATCGCTGCGGGTCTCGGGCCTGCGCTGGCAGGAATCGTGAATGTTGTCTGTGCAGCTTCCAGCACGGCCGTCCCGTGGGGCGGTCACGTTTCACTTCCTTTCACTCCTCTTCGGAAAGGTGGCTCCTTTTTAAAACGCCAGTGAGGCCCGGCCGGTGTGGCTCAGTGGTTGAGCGTCGACCTAGGAACCAGGTCACAGCAAGAGGTTGCTGGTTTAATTCCTGGTCAGGGCACATGCTTGGGTTGCAGGCTTGACCCCCAGTAGGAGGCAAGCAGGAAGCAGCCAATCATCTCTCATCATGGATGTTTCTGTCTCTCTCTTCCTCTTTCTCTCAACTCAATAAAAAAATATATAAAAAATAATAAATAGATCAAACACCAGTGACAATTCTCCGCCAGTCCAGGGGGAGCCTCACCCGTTCCCTCCCGATGGTCCTGGAATTGCCCCTTCGGTTAGAATGACCTCGCTTGCCCGGCCCTGGTGGAGGGAGGGAGGGAGGGAGGGAAGCAGGCGTGGGACA